CCCCCCTTTTGGGATTTTTCTTTCTTGCTTTCTTCTTGGTTGTTCTGTGTCTAATCTCTCTTGCTTGCATCTTTATGAGTTCTTGGCCTCTTTTTCCCATTTGACTTCTCTCCTGTTGAATAGAAATATTAACAATATGTGTAGCCAGCACTGGTCCACATACCTAAAATTATTATATTTTTTATGATTAGATAAGAGAAACTCAGTAGCATTTGAGTTGAGTATTCCAGCTGTGGTTTTATCTTGTTTCAGTTTTCATTTAGAGGGCAGTTTTGCCTCTTACAGTTCTCAAGTATGTTGTTTGTGGGGGGCAGGGTTATTAGCAGGAGCATGTACTGAAATAAAAGAAGGGGTTAATTAATGATGACTGAACATAGGTTTTTGTTATGAACTCTAAAGTATGACTGATTTCTAGATACCATGTTTTCATGCATGTGAAATGTGTTAATCTCCATTTGTAGGTAATTATATTGTTAACTTTGGGTTTCTGTATTTTAGAATAATAACATGAAGAATACTTTTGAACTATGGTGATATGGTTAAGATTATTGCAAAACACTAGTGCAGATGTAATTGCTTCCTATTAAACTTAAGTCAAAAGATGAGTAATTTGCCAGCTCAGCGTTGTAGTCTCTAAATTCCTGCTTTTAACATGAGTCCTGTTAAAATTTTCACTCAGGACTCTAGCCTGGTTTTCCCTTCAGTATACACAGGCCTTGCAGTTGGGAATTAGGTTAATGGATGACATTGAACTTTAAGTTAATGGATGAGATTCAGCTGTTCTAGGAAGTTTTGATCAGTGATTGCTTTAGTTGCTCAATTGAAAATTAATTCTTGCTTTTCAGTGTGTAACTGGAAGAAGAATGACTTTAGAAATACTTCTGTGAGAGGGGATGTAAACTCTTACAGCTTGGTTACAAGACAAAATCTTATTATTGCAAATTCTTCTGCTTAGTGAAATTTGATGGAAGACTTTGCAGCTCCTTTCTAGCGGGTGATGAGATGTACTAATTCTGCAAGAACAGTCTGTTTTTCACCAGCAATTACTGACCCTGTCATCCCATTTGAAAAGGTACTTAGAACCTAAAATGCCGCTATCTTTAAGTTGCCCTGAAGAGTGCTGCATGTAACATTTACTTGCCTTCTGAGGTTGGACTCAAATGTTTAATCTTGAATCACTTATGTAAAACATTCTGGTTTGTCAAGGGGGTTATAGTTTCTTCTGTTTTGATGCTTTTGAGACTATAACCGTGTCAAGAGCAGACATGTCCAATGTCGTGCTTTTTGAATTTTTTAGTTTGGTAATAACAGTAATTTCCTCTGTGTTAAACTTAGGAGTTGTATATGCATTTAAAACAACAAGACAGTGAGTTTTTTGTTTGTGTGTTTTTTGTGGCTTTTTTCTTCTGAAGGAGAGGAAAACCCCTGTATTTTTGTAAGTGAACTTCTTTTTATATACATGTGGGTGTTCTTATTCAGCACGTTATCTAAGCCTTTTCCTCTGTAAATTGTGAAAAGGAATAAGCTGGCTGCTGGCATAATGGATGTGGTGGAAAATGTTTGAGTTTGTCTATTTTTCATACGTAAAATTACTTTATGCAGAATTTTTATTTCATTAACATTTCCTTAAAAACTGTAGCCTCAGGAAGTGGTACAAAGCCTTGCAGTCTAGTTTACCAGACTTGGGAGGAAGCAGGGTTTGCTGCTAGCTGCTGCTGCACTGAAGAGCAAAAATCTCCAGGTGTTCATGAAAGTCTTTATTTTTTCTGTTCTCTTTTTCTTCTCCTAAGCCCTTCTACGTTAATTTGAGATTTTTAAATAAGCATATAGCTTTGCTTTTTCTGGAAGTAATGTATTTCAGAGGTTTACTCAGAGATGTTAAAAGATACTGCCAACATAATGTAGCCCTCGAAATAAAAGCTGAAGTTTCCAATTACTTTCACTTCTGGTAGTGTCACCAGAACAGTATGGTATTTGGATTTTACCAGAATTGTCTGTATTGGAGAACTCATTCATTGTAAATTAGTTTTATTAACGTTGGAAGGTAATTTCAGCTGGTTTCATTTGGCTTTTCTGGATGTTTATTTAGCCGAGTCCAAGACGCTTCTGCTTTAAGGTAGACAAGGTCACAGTTGGAGCTGGGGTGTGGGCCGCTGCCACACCTGATGGTGTTCGTCACGGTGCTTGTGCTCAGGTGTGATGCTCGGGAGCGTCTGCGGAAGGGCAGAAGCCCGAGATGGCCTCATCTCCCTGGGCAGTCGTGGTTCCTCGCAGCCAGAAGAGGGAGATGTCGGCCCTCTGTCGTGCCTCTTGCTGTGTTTTGCAACCCGACGTGCGTCAGCTCTGAAAATAACAGGTCCTTGTGCGAGTTCCTGCAGCTCAGTGATGCAGCAAAATGCTACCCTGCAGTCAGGTTTTTCTTGCAGTGGGATATGGGTTTTGCCGATGTGTAATTACTCCTCTATTATTACTCATCCAAGTGCCACCAGTGTGTATATTGGAAGCAGTAACTGGTCATCCACAGTAAGGTTTTTAGGAAGAGGCTTGGCGTTTGAGGTACTATTACAGTGCTAAAAATAAAGGGAAGATACAGGAGAAATGAGACATACCCTCGGTAATTATGTACTGGAGATCAGTCAATTTTTTTCTTTATTTTCTAGAGTTAGCATTTGAATGACCTGCTCTGTTCAGGAATATAAATCAGGATGTTGTGGCTTTTACATTCTAACTTAAAAGCTTTGCCCTTGGTTCTCAAGATAAGCTGGCTTTCTTTGTTTTTCCTTTTTTTTTTTTCCCCTCACAGCTTTTTCTGGCTGAAGGAAGATGATGGAGGAGAGTGGAATAGAGACGACTCCACCTGGCACACCCCCACCAAGCATAGCAGGCGCTGCTGCTGTGACTGCTACACCTGTCTCCTTAGGTACAGAAACTTCCTCAGCAGCTTGGTTATGTTTATTCATGCCTTTTGAAACACAGCAATTCATCCAAAAACACTGCAGTCAACAGGATTACAGTACTCTTCTCCAGACTAATTGGAAGGATTTAAATTGTTTCTTCATTATGGAAGTATGCATCTTATCTGACATACATCTGACACACAGAATGTTTTAGACATCTTTTTATTTTTGAAACTTTTTAATGAAGTCATGTGGATGCAGCTGTGTTTTTTAAGGATGTGGGGGCCAGGGAAATAATACGTTTCACTGTAGTGCACAGTTAGATGAGTTGCATAGAAGAGAGTTAAAATCGAAATAAATTTACAGTCTTGTAGGAGATAGTGAGAAACCTGGATAATCACTTGTTTTTTAACATTGTGGGTGGTAATCAAAGCGCTTTATCTGATTTCTCAAGAATCTGAACACCATACTCTGAATACCAAATATTTAATTTTCTGACACGTCTGGTATTGTTACCTTGAGTCACACTAGAGGAATGGACTCCGAAATGGGATGCCCTTACCCTGGGGGTATACAAAGCAATATATCAGGATGTGGGAAGAAAATAGTAAAATTTCTATTAATATTTGTTTTTATGTAAAAAAATAATAGAGAAATTAAGATTGAAATTAAATTGACAGTTGCACTCTCTCTCATTTACTCACTTTTATTGTACTGAGACACCTTGCAGTTTGTGTGTCTGCTTAAGTGGATTTATGGATTATGTTCACTAGTTTTAACTATGCTAACCCTCAAGAACTTAAAAAAGATACCTGCAAAGAGACCATGGATTGAAAAACACCACTAATAACATGAGCAAACAAAAAAACCCGGATGATCTGACACTTCTCTGACTCTTAGTCAGCTTTTCCAGGGGTCAGCTGAGTGCCAGACTGAAACTGAGAAGACAGGGTTTAGGAGGCTGGATGCCAGGGAAGAGAGGGCTACCTGATGCTCATCTCATCACATCTCCTAGAACCATACCTCTAAAGTAACTCCCACCCTCCCACACATTTTTTCTTAAGGATGGTCACTTCCTGCATCAGCATTGTTCATGTTGATAAAACAGTCATTCGGAAACAACAGTACTGGCTAGAAATTTCTGAGACATACTTCATCTGCTATAAATTCAGTAGCTGACTCATGTTTTTAAGCTTATGGCAAATAGGGTCATGCAAGAAAAAGAGATGTAGTTTACAAGATACTGTCACCAAAAATGGAGCACAATTGGTGTTGTATACAAACTCAAGCGGAACTAAAATTCACTTTGAAGGGAAAAAAGCAGCCCAGGTCAAAACTTATTTGCAAAGTATATGAACAATTATATAACTGAATTCTGAGAATAAGGCTCAGTATTTCTAAAATTCCTTTTTTTTCTCTCTTTCCTAGCTTTGTCCAGTCCTGTTGCTACACCAAGCATGTCAGCTTCTCCCACGTACTCACCACCCATGCCATCTGCTGTGTCTTCACTTCCTCCTTCTCTGATGACTTCAGCTTCTCTTCCACTTGTGCCTTCTGCAACGGTATCTACAGTTGCACCGCCTCTAACTCCAGCCCCACCACCTGTTGCCCCTTCAGCTTTTAGTACCCCCGTATCCCAGTTCTCTACATCTCCTCCATTAAGCTCTACTAGTGGCCCTGGTCTTCCTGCACCTCCCGCTGGTCCCCCCATTTCAGGATTTTCCATGTCTTCAACCTATGACATTACCAGAGGTCATGCTGGTCGAGCACCACAGAGCCCACTGATGCCATCATTTTCTGCACCTCCTGTCACAGGTAACTTCTTATTTATATGCTTTTGTGATCGTGAGGGCAGGGCAAGGGCTTTTCTGGGTGTTTTTTTCTACTGCTCTGCTAGTGTACTGCAAATTCAGCTTCTTTATTATTGCAGATACATCTGATTAATGTAACTGCACTCAGAAGGAGGTGTAGCCTTTGAAATACAGTCGCAGTTGGTCACTGAGAATCTTCATTGATAGAGTTCTGCTAGCATTCAGGCTCACAGTAAAAGTCTTTGAGAGGTTTATTTTTTTGTTAGTTTGCACAGGAAAGCTCAGCTGACATATATATCTTTTGTTTAGATCCCAGAGTCAACTTCAGCCGTTACATTTACACAGATTGATGTGATATCTTAGGCTGTAATCTCATGATTTAATTTTTTTTGTTCTGAAAAGCTATGTGTAACAGGATGTACGTCACATGACCAGCTTCTATTTTCTTGTTTCCAGCTGCTAAATTGCATTAGAACTAAAAATATCTTCCATGCAGTCAGTTGCTGTAGTTGCTGTGCTGATGTCATTTTTTGCTAGTGAAATGGAAACTTGGCTCTTCAACTACAATTGGGACAGGCTTTTACTATTATTGGTGATATCTCTTTTAAGTAATCTATATTAGGAAAACGTCTACAAAGACCTACCAGTTGTGCAGTATAAAATAAAAATAAACTCTTGATTAAGGCAAGTGTTGGAAAATCTGTTAAGATACGCTTGAGTAATGGGGAATTTCATGCCTTAATTTTATACTCTTCGAGTTTCTTTCGTTTTCCTTTAAAATATGTAAAACTATTCATTTGCTTGGTCCTTTTTCTGTTACTATTAATATCCAGCAGTTAGAAGATTTCCTACTTCTTTCTTTTTATTACATATGAGAACATTCCTTTCTCTTTGTTTGGAAAGCAACACTCATTCTTCTTTTTCCTCTACTGAGGGCTTATTATGAAAATTTGAATACAATAAAAAGCACCACTGTTAAACTAACCTGCTAAGTGAAAGTACTTGTTTAATTTAATACATAATGCACAGGCAGTCTCGATTCTGCTAGCAGATATTGTTGAAGTAATTTATTGTAGTTATATCTGCTAACCTTTAACAAGCAGAATTGTTCTGGGACCTTCCAGAAATGAAGTGAATCAGCCTAGTATTCTTCTATTCTTCCTGCTCATTTTCCTGTTAAACAATCACATCCTGCTAGAGCTTAGAAATTAAATGCAATAAATTAAATGAACACTTGTGTGTTGTTTTCTTTTCCCCTCTTACTAGGTGTTTTGGCAGATCCTATTACTCAACAGGCAACTTTCTCATCAACTTTGGCTCCTGGAACTGGTTCTGCAATCACTTTTCCTGAGGAAAGTGAAGACCCCAGAGTGTGTACTGCCCAAGGTGGAGCACCTGCTGGAGGATTGTGGGGGTTTATAAAGGTATGGGGTGTTGTCTGTTCACCCTACATGAGGAATTACCATTTTTTAGTGACTATAATAGGACATGTTATATTTTTTAAATACGTGTTGCTATAAACTCTGGGTTTTTTCTCCAATCTCATTTGCAAGGTGTTTTCTATAGTTGTGTGTGCTGAAGCTATGCTTTTGCTCTTCCTCTATGTAGAAGAGGGAGTAATACACAAATGCAAGTGTTCTAGCTTAATTTTAGTACTTGTTAAAGGAAGATGTGCATATCTAACAGATTCTGTATATATTCTTAAATCAGGTGAAGCTTTAGAGCCTCTTTAAGATCTGAAAGCTAATTTTTACTTCACTGCAACTGGATGCAGAAAGAGTCTGTTTTACTTCTGTGGAATTCCTTGCATGTACTGTTTCTTTAGAATTTCCTAATGAACTGGGCTTGATTTGTATAAAATGGAAGTCCAGCCTGTTTTGTAAGAGCTGAGTCTCTTCAAGGAGAGACAAATACGTATTTCCTCCACCAAAGAACAGTTTACCTAAGAAGTGGCCAAGATATTTTGTAGGGTTTTTCTGTTCTGCTAGAAAGCATGGAGTACATAGTCCAGAAGAGACACTCGTTGTGGTGCTATCTGATCATATATAGGAGATGAGCAGCAACATCAACTAGTAGAATTTCATTAGTCTTTAATTTTTGGAGCTGTGATAAGTGCTGCGTATAAGTAGCATCAGGAAGATTGTGGCAGAAAGATCTAAGGATTGTGTGTGAATTCTGTCTTCAAGAGCAACACCATTTTCTGTACAGTCTCATACAAAATGTGAAGAAAGAATCAAGAACACTGATGTTACAATGGGATTGCTGAGTTTTGGAGAGGCTTTTAAGCCTTGTTGAACATGAAAGGCTGCGAGAAAACGTTTGTGACATGGCAAACTACACCTTCCCTTAGTTGAAGAATGCACATCTTGACATTGGTAGTCTTAAAGAGCAATATTAATCCTCCATCAGTATGCTGAGAGCAAAGTTGTCGTGCTGCCTTTTTCAGGGAGAGATGTCTTCTCTAGATCATAGAAACGCATTTTCTTTCTTACTTTAAGTAATAGCATCCTTCTTTCGGTCATCGTATTCCTCTTAATATTTGCAATAGATAGGAATGTTCCAGAAGAGAATATATTTTATTGGAACGTGGTTCGGTAACGCTTTTGAAAGTACCAGTACTTGCAATTGCAGGTTGAGTTGAAAAGCCAATCTCATTCTCACTACTGTTGCCTTTCTACCGGTGTCCTGTTTCTATTTATGGAGAAGGTTTGCATCATTGGCTTCAATAATAAAACCTAGATTTTAGTAGAAGTATTAAGCGTTCTATGTACTCTGTGTGTTCAGTGGACTCTTTTTGACAGTTTCCTAAGTGGAAGCACACTTCGGAACCTGTGCTTTTTAAAGATCATCCTGCTTGTGCTAGACTGATGAACATAAAGGGATCCTTCACAGGTAGAATAAGCAGCTTCTTGCTGCTCAGGAATGGATTATCTGCAGGAGAGGTATAGCGACTGTGTTCATTAGGCAGTCAGGCTACTGATTGGAGGAGCATTGCTTGGCTTTGCATTACTGGAAAGATGCTAGAACTGGAAATTACTTCTTCAAATGTCTCTGAAGATCTCACAGCGTTCACTCACTTTTTGATAAACCACAGATAAATTTCAAATTGTGAGAGAGATGAAGAAGTATAAACTTCCTTGTTTTTGGTGGCATCTTTTGTTTTCATGAGTAGTCAGAAGAGCATGTATTATTAAGTGAATGCTACCATTCAGAAAAGATTTGTGTTATTGTCCTGATTTGAGCTAAAGACAAGCAATTCTGTTCAGTGATTTTACTTTTCAGCTCAGTCTCTTAGAAGAGGCTCCACTTGCTGAAGTTAAGACAGTGTCTTCTACTAGAAGTGACAATGCCTGATGTTTACAATTACTGCCAGGGATTAGTATGCAGAAAGGCTCTTGCTTGTACTTACTCCTGTAATGAGCAAGGTCATTTCTGGATCCTGTGTGCCACACTGGATGTGCCAGGAAGTAAAACATTCTCAAGGAAGTATGAAGTTGCACCTTCAGTGAGGAACAGATAGGCCAGGAGACCCAAACCTGACCAACAAAAGCCACTCCACTCCTATTCAGTGAGGAATCATAGAACGTTAGGGGTTGGAAGGGACCTCTAGAGGTTATCTAGTCCAACCCCCCTGCCAGAGCAGGATCCCCTAGGGCAGCCACACAGGAACATGTCCAGGAGGTTTTGCACGTCTCCAGAGAAGGAGACTCCACAACCTTTCTGGGCAGCCTGTGCCATTGCTCTGTCACCCTTACAGTAAAGAAGTTTCTCCTCATGTTGAAGTGGAACTGCCTATATTCATAGGAATTAAGTGTTTTTTCTCAATGGCCAGTGTCCACGGTGGACTCTGTCCTTTTTTTTTTCTCACTTGATCCTGATATTGAGTTCTTGAATCCAGCTCCTGTGTCTGGTTCCCCTCTGCTGCTGAGTCAGAGACTTCCCTGGTGCCTGCCTGCTCTGCAGCATCAGTGGTCATTGCTGTCAGGGGAAGTTGGGTTCAATATCAGTTTTGTGTATATTTGTATATAATTCATTATTTCATTATTTTAATTCTTTCCTTATTAGTACTACTGTTGTTTGTTAGAGCTGTTCTAGCTTTCTTTTCCAATCTGTAAGTCTTTCTGCCTTACTCCTTTTCACTTCCACTTTGAGGAGGGAGAGAGGTTAGAGAACTGTCATTCATTTAGTGACTGGTCCAGCCCTAACCGTTAACAGTTGTATTTATGAGAAACAAGTGGCTACAATGGGCTCTGCCTTGAAAAAGCTTAAATGTGGTGGAGTGAGTAGTTGTTTTGTTTTCTTCACCAAAAGCTTAGTGTTCTGTACAGTGGTGATAAGAGTCCTTGAACCAGGTAGTGAACTATTTCAGCGTGAGGCATGGGATAAAATAGTCATTATCGGTAGCCATACAGTATCTCAGTAGTTCAAGTGTTATGGGTTTTTTGATTGTTTGGTGTTTTTTTTGTTGTTTCATTTGTTTGTTTATTTTACAGTTGTTGGTTTTTTTTTTCCTGTTCTGTACAGTGGTGATAAGAGTCCTTGAACCAGGTAGTGAACTATTTCAGCGTGAGGCATGGGATAAAATAGTCATTATCGGTAACCATACAGTATCTCAATAGTTCAAGTGTTATGGGTTTTTTGATTGGTGGTTTTTTTTGTTGTTTCATTTGTTTGTTTGTTTTACAGTTGTTGTGTTTTTTCCTTTAAGCTTGCTAAAAAGAAATAGAAAGCGTTCAGATGTTGGATGGGGCTTTGAGCCTAGTGGAAGGTGTCCCTTCCTGTGGCAGGGTGAACTACATAATCTTTAAGGTCTCTTCCCACACAAACCATTCTATAGTTTATGAAAAAGAAGCTTTACTGGACAAAAGTTATTCTGAGGTTGTTAAAACTCTGATTCTGCAGTGTGGGTATATTAAGCAAGTGCTTTCTGGAAAAGTGTATATATGTGCTGCTGTCCTGTATAATGGTTATCATTTAGTGAAACAGATACAAGCATGCAGTTTTAATATTAGATTGAAAACAGTTTGCTTACTAAAGAAATTTTATAAAAGGTTGCTGTAAAATAGTTTCCAGGGCTTTATGTCTCAGTGTTTCAGCATTGGTATCTTTCTTTTTTTGCCCTGTGATCTTATTTGCATTTAAATAAACTTTTGACAAGATACAGACATTCTTAAGACTCTTTGCAAGACACGGGTTGGTGTTTATATTTAATGAATTTTTAGGTCTTTCAGCAGCTCCACTTGTGATTTGGCTGGAGGATATAGAATGATTTTCCAGAACTGTTTAGAAACTATTTGTAGTTGAAGACTTCCAGGTCCTGGCAGTCTGGTGAGGTTCCCACAGGTTGGAAAAGGGGGAACATAACCCCCATCTTTAAAAAAGGGACGAAGGACAACTCGGGGAACGGAACCAAAGACACCCCAGGGAACTACAGACCAGTCAGCATCACCCCTGTGCCAGGTAAAATCATGGAACAGAGTCTCCTGGTAGCTGTACTAAGGCACATGAAAAACAACGAAGTGGTTGGTGACGGCCAACGTGGCTTCACTCGGGGCAAGTCATGCCTGACTAAATTATTGGCCTTCTACAACAAAGCTACAGCACTGGTTGACATGGGAAAAGCAGTGGATGTCATTTTCCTGGGTTTCTGCGAGACATTTCACAGAATCACAGAATCATAGAATGTCAG